AGGACATATCAGAGACCTTCACAGCGGCCCCTCCCAACATAGGCCCAGAGGACTAGAAGGGAAAAATGGTTTCCTGGGCCAGGTCCAGGGCTCCCCTTGCTGTGTGCTGCCTCCAGACTTGATGCCCTGCATCCCAGCCACTCCAGCCATGGCAAAAAGGGGCCAAAGTACAGCTCAGGCTGTTGCTTCAGAGGGTGCAACCCCCAAGCCTTGGCATCAAAGGCCTCCAACTTCGCTGAGCACTTCTCCTTGCTGCCGCCATGTGAAGAAGGACATGTTTACTTCCCCTTCTGCCATTATTGTAAGTTTCCTGAGGCCTCCCCAACCCCATGGAACAGTGAGTCAATTAAACCTCTCTCCACTATAAATTACCCAGTCTCAGATATGTCCTTATAGTAGCACGAGAAAGGACGAGTGTACTGATAAGCCTGTCAACAGCATTCTTCAAATCTGTTATGTATATGTGTTTTTTCTCATTTCTATATATCTCTTTTTTTGGTAGTCTTCATATTTCTGCAAAAAATTCTTTTCTGTTCGTTAGTATTGTCTACATTTTCCACAAAAGCCTTTCATATTCACATATTACTTGTAGTTGTCTTAAGTTCTCTGTCAGATAACTACAGCATCTGGGTCTTGTACCTGGTCTTTTTTTTTTTTCTCTCTCTCTCTCACTCTGTCTCTTTCTGTTTCTCTCTTGAATATAAAAACAGGGCCTCACTATATTGCCCAGGCTGGTCTTCAGATTCCTTTCCTTGAGTAATCCATCTGCCCTGGCCTCCCAAAGTGCTGGATTAGAGGTATGAGCCACCACACCTGGCCTGCTTTGTCTCTTGACAGGTTTTTTGTTTGTTTGTTTTGTTTTGTTTTGGTATTTTAAAATTTGTGGGGTTTTTTTTTTTTTTTTTCCAGAGATGGGAGTTCTGCTCTTGTCAACCAGACTGGAATGCAACGGCATACAGTAATCTCAGCTCACTACAACCTCCACCTCCCAGGTTCAAGCAATTCTCCTGCCTCAGACTGCCGAATAGGTGGGATTATAGGCACCTGCCATCACGCCCAGCTAATTTTTGTATTTTTAGTAGAGATGGGGTTTCACCATGTTGGCCAGGCTGGTCTCGAATTCTGGACCTCAGGTGATCCATCCATCTTGGTCTTTCAAAGTGTTGAGATTACAGGCGTGAGCCACTGCACCTGGCCTGTGTTGTAATTTTTTTATTGAGTTTTGGCCACAGTGTTTAGTAAGGACTGAGTTTATTATTATTTATGCCTAGAAATTGTAATATCTCCTAGGCTATTAGTGTGGAGAATTCAGTCAATTTTTTCAGGAATTGAACGAGGTCTGAATTTTGTTGTTTCTATGATTACTTCAGTGTCTATATCGCCTACAGATTCTATATAGTCATGCTAGCTACACTGGGTCTTTAGTGATTCCATAAAAATTTTGGCCTGGCATATTGGCTTATATCCATAATCCCAGCACTCTGGGAGGCTGAGGCAGAAGGATCACTTGTGGCCAGGAGTTGGAGACCAGCCTAGACAACATAGCAAGACCCCATCTCTACCCCCTCAAAAACAGAAAATTAACCATGTGTGGTGATGTACATTTGGGGAAGCTGAAGTGGGAGGATACCTTGAGCTCAGGAGTTTAAGGTTATAGTGAATCGTGATTGCACCACTACACTTCAGCCTCTGGACAGTGTGTGAGACCTTGTCTCTAAAAAATAAAAACATAAACATTAGCTGAACTTTTCTTACATACTTGCAAGGAGAGCTTGTCTTTCTCCTGCTACACAACTGAACGAGTGCCTGCATCCCATCTCTTCTTGGAGGCTCCTGTCCTTCTTTGGAATGCAGTTTAATTGGTTGCTCTGCAACCTCAGGTCTCTGATAAGTTTGACAAAAGTTGTGATTTTGTACATTAACCAACAGTTTCTAAAACTTAGTAGTGTGGTAATGATGTTCTTCCCGCTTTCTGCATCCTAGATGGAAGCCAGAGTCTAAGTCCGTCTACCTTTTCACAGTGCTTTTCAACATTTTGGCCACCCACTCCTGGCCTGCTGCCTGGTCTTTCTCTTAGGTGACACCCTTCCAGCTTAGCCCCCTGAAATATTTTCAGGTTACATGTTTCCTCCTCTCCATTCCTTCTTTATGGTAAATATCTGGCAAAGAGAAGGGACAGAGGTTCCTGATCTTTCATCATCTTGGGCTCAAAATAATCCATGGAGTCGTGTTCTCAAGGATATGTCTGGGCTGGTGTGGTGGCTCATTCCTGTAATCACAGCACTTTAGGAGGCTGAGATGGGTAGATCACTTGAGGCCAGGAGTTCAAAACCAGCCTGGCCAACATGGCAAAACCCCATCTCTATTAAAAATACAAAAATTAGCAGGGGAATAGGGGCACATGCCTGTAATTCCAGCTACTCAGGGGGCTGAGGTAGGAGAATTGCTTGATCCCATGAGACGGAGGTTGCAGTGAGCTGAGATTGTGCTACTGTACTCCAGCCTGGGCCTGGGCGACAGAGCGAGACTCTATCTAAAAAAAAAAACAAACGAAAAGAAAGTATACATCTCCGAAAATGGGGACATGACTTTGGGAGCTAAGTTCTCATCCACTGTACTCCTGACTTGGCCTCATTTTTCTGTGCTAGAAAATTAGATGAAGTATCTATTCATTAATGAGAAATAAGAATCAAACCAACCCACTGAAATATTTCTTAGATGAAAACTATAACAGGATAAAAGGGGAACAGGCTGGGAGTAGTGGTTACAAACAGTCTCTGGAGGCAGCCTACCTGGGCTTAAATTCCAGTTCCATCACTTACTAGCTTTAGGGCTTGGGACAAGTTCCTTCACCTCTCTGTATCTCAATTTCTGTATATGTAAAGTGGAAACAGCAAGAGGATTAAAAGGGTTAATTTTTGTAAAGTTTTATAATAGTGACTGGCACATAAACTCTGTGGAAGTGTTAACAATTAGGGCTTACTTCCTACAGTTTCAGAAACTGGTGGAAGAGAGCAGTTCTCTCCCTTTCTCAGACCCCATTACAATCAAAACAGCTAATGATTACTGAGCATTTCCAAAGTGCCCAAGTCCTGGAACTAAGCGTTTTATACAAATTACCTCATAAGAGGGAGGGATTAATTATTCCTATTTAATAGGTAAGAGATCAAGGATCAGAGAAGTGTTTACCCAGCCGGCTAGAGGCAGCAATAGGTTTACAACCCAAGACAGTCTGACTGCAATGCCTGTGCTCTTAACCACTGCATTTGATGCCTCCCGCAAACTAGTTTCCATGCTTGTAAACTAGTGGGAAAGTTGCATGCTGTATTTATCTCACAGGGTTGTTTTGAGAGCCCAGTAATATGAGGCAGTGCTTTAGGTATTTGTACAGAATGCTGGTCCCCTGTCAGGGAAACCTGAATGTGTCAATGATTTGTTCACACTTCCCTCCCTCTGCACATGCCCTTCCCCCTCTTTTCTGCTTGTCGAACTCAAGTCTTTCAAGACTTAGCTCAGATATCAGCGCCCGGATTTTATTCTAACAATGGAGGGATTTGGGCAACGGCGGAGGTGGGGGGGGAGGCGGGGCGGCGTGAGGGGGCACATTAGACTTGGACTCTGAAATAACAGCCGACTTGCAATGCAGGGAATGGAGTGTAGCCAGGCCGGAGTGAGTACAAGAAAACCGGAGAGAAGGCTACTGCATTAGGAGCCCAGGCGGGAGATGTTGGGGCAAACGGAAGGAATGGTGGACTGGAAAGATATTTAGGAAGGAGAATCGACAGGAAATGGAGGTGTATTTTTGAGGGAGAGGGAGGTGGCAAGGATGACTCCTAGTTCCTGGCTTGCTCGCGGGTGTTTGTCGAATGAATGATCCAGTGACCCTACGGCAGAAGTATCTCAGAGAGATCCCCCAACTTCCCTCCCCGCACCCGTCCCCACGCTGCTTTCAGAGCAATGACTATAAGGGGATGGCTGGAAGGGAGGAGGAAGGGAATGGCCACGGAGTCTTGTTCCAGGAGCTGCTATACTGGACACTTCTAGCACTGGTCTGAGCCAGGAGTCTGAGCCAGGAGGCGCTGCGAAGAGGGCAAACTTTTCTCCTCTCACAGTTGCCGCCTCGCCCCTCCACCCCTCCAGGCCGGCAGTGCAGCGCCCCTCGTAGCACCGTGGAGGTGCTGGCACCTGGCCGGCGTCTGGGGGCGCGGCGCAGGGGCCCACCCCTCCAGCCCTGACCCGCCCGGCCCGGCGCCCACCCCGCCCAGTGCACTGGTAGGTTGGGCGGCGGCTCTGTCTAGTCCCAGAGTCAGGAATCGGGGGCAACCAGCTGGGCGAGTCCCAGGGCAGGGGTCCTCTGCTGCTGTGCACCTGCCCTGCTGGGCGGCACCGGGTCAGTGCCCTGCAGGTCCCCACCCTCTCTTTCCCTCGTGAGTCCTCTGGAGAAGTGCGCGCGTGTAAGTGTGGCAAGTGTGGCCAAGGGTGCCGGAGGCAGGGTTCGGGTGCGTAGTCGTTGCGTGGGCGCTGCCCAGCAGGCTCAGAGCATCAAGTGTGCGTGGGCAGAGTCGGCGCGGGTGCCCGCTGCGGGTCTGCGCGGGGCGGGGGCGCAGCAAGTGCATCCGAGCAAGCAGAGGCAAGCGCACCGGCGTCGGCGGCGGCGAGGGTGGTGCAGCGGGGCCCGGCTGGGCGGAGGGAGGAAGGATGCGTGCGGGTAACTTTTTGACCGCCTTGGAAGTACCAGTAGTCGCGCTCGCAGGGGCTGCCGCAGGCCGCCGGGCAAGCGGCGAGCGAGTGCGCCCGCCACCACCCCTCCCCCACTTCCGCCTCCCGCCTCTTCCTCGTTCCCGGCTCCCAGGGCCCGTCGGTCCCCCGGGAGCCCTGGAGGCGCAGCCCCACCCCGGCCGGCGCGGCTCGCTCCCACGCCCCCGCCGCCGCCTCGCCGGAGCGGACGGACTGAGTCAGCGGGGGCGCAGGCGCTGCAGGTAGGGGCTCCGTCGGCGGTGGGCGCAGGTGCCTCGGGGGATTGCGGAGGGGACCGGAGCACGAGGGGAACGGCCTGGGGGGAGCGCCCTCCCCCCCTCCTCCTTCCTCCGCCGACGCCTCGTGTCCCTTTTTAGGGAATTTTTTCCCTCTTGCCGGCTCCAGTGCGGGTGGGGCTCAGACCGAGAGGGAGTTCTCCATTTCGCTGGCTCGTGCCCGGCCCCTGGCAGACTCCTGCCCCCAAATCTCTTCACCCTCTCCCCAGCACCTACAGTCGCGTAAACAACTCCGTTTCTCCAGCTCCGGGCTCCGCGGCCCCCCAGGGGGCAGCTCCTTCAGTCTCGTGAGATCAGTGGGGCTAGGGGGAGGGGAAAAGACAGGGGGCGTCCTGGAGCCCCTGACCCCCGTCCGCTTCCCCCACCTCGACCTCTCCTTTCCCCTCCCCGCTTCTGGAGCACTGGCTCCAGGGGCCCTGGGTATTTTTAGCGTTGTGACCTGGGCGGCAGCTCTAAGAGCCTTTCCCTGGAATCGGCGTCAGCACCTCGCTCTTCCGCGGCCGGCCCGCGGCCGCTCGGTCTCTCCACACTTCATTGGCCCTGCCTTGTCCACTCGGGGTTGGGTCCCTCTCCACCTCCGCGGCGCCCGTGGAGCTGGCCAGGGTCTGGGATACGCTGGGTGCAGATGAGGTGGGGAAGGCAGTCTGCGGAGGATGACGTCTGATCCTCAAGCTGGAAACTCTCCTGCCTCTGGTGATGGGCTCAGAGCAGAACACCGGGAAGGAGAGGAGCAAATGGGAGTGAATGCACCGGCCTGGGCTGGCCCATAGCCTCAGTGCTCTGGCTGGCTCGCCGCTTCTCAACCCTAGGGGTCAGAAAGCCTGCTCTGAACTGGACCCAGGACCCGCCTTTCCAATTGCTCCTCGCTGACTAATGGGGAGATAAGTCAGTGGGATGTGTCCGAGGAGGGGGACAGATAAAGAACTGTGGGAATTCAAAGGAAAGATGGTCGTCTCCTAAATAGCTCACCTTCACAAGCAGGGTCTTGTATTTGAGGCAGGTAGGTTGATGATGCCATTTTCAGATGGGGAGACTAAGACCAGAAAGGTGACAGAGGCAGAACCTAGTCTGGAAGTCAGGTCTGTGACTTCAGAGCAAGGCTTGGAGTGGATGGCACACACGTGTGTGCACGTGTGTGTGTGTGTATGTGTGTGTGTAGTAAGGGAGGGGCGCGGGAGGGGTTGCTTTATCCTGTCTGGGTTTTGAAGGATGGGAAGGAGTCACAGCTGCAGCACTGGAGGAAGGGAACCCTCCACCCTGAAATCTCTGTCTCTAACCTGTCCTGCCCCTGGCCTTCTGAGGCAACAGGGTCTATTAAGGGGAAAAAGTACCTCCTCCATTTATTCTGAACCAACTCCTGTAATCCCTCTAACCCCTCTCAGGAGGACATGATAGGGAGAGTTGGACACTGTGTTCGCTGAATACAGAGTACCTCTCTTGTGGTGCCTGGAACTGGCATCCCCTTTGTGCAGCTAGGGCAAGCCCCGCCTCTGCATGAGACTTGGTTTGTGGGACACACTTGGTTTTGGGGGAAGGGGAAAGAGGTCGCCAAGGGCAGAGGTGTCCAGGCTGGAGCCAGGGGCCCCACTGCTGGGATGCTGGCTGCAGTGGGGCTCCCTGAGCCCAGGCCCCTGCCCCCATCTTCTCTTTTGACTTTGCAGCTGTACTTGTCTTGCTCCTCTACCCGCAGGAGCTGACATGGACCCAAATCCTCGGGCCACCCTGGAGCGCCAGCAGCTCCGCCTTCGGGAGCGGCAGAAATTCTTCGAGGACATTTTACAGCCAGAGACAGAGTTTGTCTTTCCTCTGTCCCACCTGCATCTCGAGTCACAGAGACGTAAGTCCCAAGTCCTGAGGAGAGGGACTAGGGTAGGGCAGGGAGGATGTCCTGGGGGTCCTGAATCTTGTGGGACTCTCTCCCCTCTGGTTTTTAGAAGCCCTCTCTACTTCTAACTTGGGACCTGACATGGAACTCTCACTGTCCTGGTGTGTAGCCTGGGTCCTCCTGACTTGCTCCTTCTTGATCCACAGCCCCCATAGGTAGTATCTCATCCATGGAAGTGAATGTGGACACACTGGAGCAAGTAGAACTTATTGACCTTGGGGATCAGGACGGAGCAGATGTGTTCTTGCCTTGCGAAGATCCTCCACCAACCCCCCAGTCGTCTGGTATGCCCCTCTGCTTTGGGGACTTCAGTGCTAGTCAGCTAGAGCCGGATGTCAGGCTCTAAAATGAGGCTGCAAGGCTGGGCTGGGAAGTATACAAGTAAGGGCTGGAAGTGGGTGTTTCCACCAACGAAACAGCTGCCTGTTTTGATTTTAGGGAAGTTAACCATGAGGGGGAACTGGGTTACACATCTCCAATCCAAAATTCTAGAAATGGCCAATCTCTTCTTTAATTTTACATTTGTTAGATTAATATAATTAGTCACTATAATTAAAATAATGTGAAAATAGAATTTTTACATTTGGCAACTTAAGTAGTTTTAGTCATTATAATGATATTAATATTTATTGAGTACTTTAATAGGTTCCAATACTGTACTAAAGTACTTTACATATATTCTCTCAATCCTCACAATGTCCCATCAGGGTAGGTGATATAATCCCCATTTTATAAACAGGAAATTAGGCTCAGAGAAGTTAAGTTGCATTGTTGCCAGAAGGTAGATAGACTGGAATTCATGTTTGTCTGACTCCAAAGCCCATATGCTTAACTTGTAAGATAGATATTCTTTTAATTAAAACTGCTACTATTTATTGATGGCTTACTATGCCACACATTTTATAAGCATTCTTAGGTTTTAGTCCCAAAATGCTTTGGGGATGTAGGTATCCCTTTCATTTTGCCGAGGAGGAGCAGAGTCCTTGAAAGGGAAAGTGACTTGCTCAAAGCCACTCTGCAGCAGTAAGTGATGCAGGTGGAACTTGAACTCTTGCATTGATTGACCCAACTCTAAGAACCCAGACATGGCATAATGACATAGAAGGGGCTGGCAGTCAGGAGATGATGGTCTTAATCCTGGCTCTTTGCTGGACTGGCAAAGTCACTTTGGATAAGCCTCTGCCCCTCTGTAGGCTTTAGTTTCTTCTGGCCAGATAATCTGTAAGAGTTCTCTGAAGCCCTGTTTGTGGCCTGACCAGCTTTCTCTCTGGGCAGGGGTCGACAGCCATTTGGAGGAGCTGAGCCTGCCAGTGCCTCCATCAGACAGGACCACATCTAGGACCTCCTCCTCATCCTCTGACTCCTCCACTAATCTGCACAGCCCAAATCCAAGTGATGATGGAGCAGACACGCCCTTGGTACAGTCGGATGAAGAGGAGGAAAGGGGTGATGGAGGGGCAGAGCCTGGAGCCTGCAGCTAGCAGTGGGCCCCTGCCCTGCCTACAGACTGACCATGCTGGCTATTCTCCACACAATACCGTAGACCCAGCCAGAGCTTTCTGGGAGAAGACCAGACTCTTGACTTGTAGTAGGCACCAGAGGTGGGAAGGATGGTGGGATCGTGTACCTTTCTAAGAATTAACCCTCTCCTGCTTTACTGCTAACCTTTTTCCTGCTTCAACTCTCCCACCAGTTTTTAGCTAACTCCTGAGATAGGATTTCCAAGTGAGGAGAGAGAAGATGAGGTTGGACAAGATATCACTGCTTTTCTTAGCACTCTTCCCTCCCCCAAACCATCCTGTAGTCTTCTAATAGCGTCTCTCAAACATGTATCTCTAGATGGACGTGAACTCCTTAACACATCAAGTGAGGCGGTACTCAAGCCATGCTGCCCCCTTACATCCTTTTTGGAACAGAGCACGGTATAAATAATAAACAAATAATCATATGCCAACTATTCTACTTCATTTTTCACATCGCAAATATATCAAACCCACTACAGGTATATGTCTTTAGCTCTCTAACCAATCCCATATTCCTGTCACTCATTCATTCATTTAGTCAAGAAATATTTATTGAACACCCACACTGGGCATCTGGAATACAGTTTAGAGCAAGACAGGCTGTACTGTATACCTGCCTTCATAGAGCTTACTGTTTATGGAGGAGAAAATCAAGTAAATGCTGCAATTCACAGTGTAATAAATAGCATGATGAGGAACTACTCTGGCACCAGAAAATAGGGGCATCTTTTGTATGGTCACTGAAGAGCTGTTTTTAGCTGAAGGATGATTGGGAGTTAGCCAGGCAAGGTCCATAAGCCAGGCAGATGAGCAGCTCGTGAAGACTTTAAATAGAGAGAGCATATGCTTGAGAAGCTGAAAAACACTGCGTTTGAGTGAATTGTTGGATTCGAGGAAATGAAGGGAGAGATAAGACTGCCAAAGTTCAGGTTGTAAAATGCGTTGAAGCCTGGATTGCTAGTGAAAGATCATGACTTAAGATATAAAGTTGTTTCCTCATATAGAGGTAAAAAGTACAGGGCTACATGAAAGTTCCATCGTTACTGAGCACTGGGCTCCTTTTTTGCTCTTTTGCACATGGCTTGCATTCTTAATGATACCTCACGTCTAAAGTGGCTGTCAAAGCCCCAGCCATCATGACCTTGAGACTGGCAGAAAGCAGGAGAGGAAACGGGGGATGGACAGAGGGCACAGCCAGTCTATTCCAGTCTATTTAGGAAGAAAATTTTGGAAGTTCTTTTTTTTTTTTGAGACTGAGTCTCACTCTGTCACCCAGGCCGGAGTGCAATGGTGCGATCTCAGCTCACTGCAACCTCCACCTCCTGGGCTCCCGGGTTCAAGCATTTCTCACGTCTGAGCCTCCTGAATATCTGGGACTACAGGCACACACCACCACGCCTGGCTAATGTTTGTATTTTTAGTAGAGATGGGAGTTCACCATATTGGTCAGGCTAGACTCGAACTCCTGACCTCATATGATCCACCCACCTTGGCCTCCCAAAGTGCTGGGATTACAGGCATAAGCCACTGTGCCCAGCCAAATTTTTGGAAGTTCTAATCATTAGCATCTACTTCCATCTTCCATCTCATTGGCCAGAACTTGGTAACACTGAGAAATGTGTCATTTGTAAACCTTTTATAGACATAGGGACATAGCATTATCCAGAAAAGAAGAAGTCTGGCCTTTGGAAAGAAAATAATCCTCTCAAGTCACTGAATTTGCCATAGTATCTGATTTTGGTACCACCTGTCAGCACCCTGGCTGCTGAGCAGACAGTCCTTTAACAATGCACACTGCTGTCTTCATAGAATTGTTTTGTTGCTAAGGGACAAGAGAACAGTAGTCATTGGGTAAGTAACCAGCAGTCTACTTGTTAGAAGCCACATTAAAGACTTTGAACTTTATTGGGAGTAATGAATTACAAGTTATTGGATTTGCTTGTTAAAAAGCCAAGTCTAGCTGCAGTGTAGAGAACATACTGGAGAAGGACAGGCTCAAGACAGACTAATACACAGCAATCCATGCAAGAGGTAACGGTGGCCTACAACACAGTGGTGATGATTAACTTAATTGGGTCAGTGGGATATAAACAACATGATGCATTCAATAAATACTAAATGTGGGTATTTAACGTGCAAGATACTGAGCATGGCCTTATGGATGTAGTAATGGCAAAAA